TAACAGCGATGTGTAGGAGCATATCTGGAAGCATTCCCCTTTCGATTCAGATGAGAATCCAGTTGTAGAAGTCTGCTGTTCTCGCAGTCGTTGTCGCATTCGCGATGGCAGTCGCAGTGGCAACGGCAGTCGCAGTCACAGCCTCAGCCTCAGCCTGCCTCAGCCTCAGCCTCAGCCTGCCTCAGCCTCATCCTGCCTCAGCCTCAGCCTCAGCCTGCTTCAGCCTCAGCCTCAGTCTGCCTTCAGCCTCGGCCTCAGCCTCAGCCTGCCTCAGCCTCAGCCTGCAGCCTCAGCCTCAGCCTCAGCCTCAGCCTGCCTCAGCCTCAGCCTCAGCCTGCCTCAGCCTCAGCCTGCCTCAGCCTCAGCCTCAGCCTGCTTCAGCCTCAGCCTCAGTCTGCCTTCAGCCTCGGCCTCAGCCTCAGCCTGCCTCAGCCTCAGCCTGCATCAGCCTCAGCCTCAGCCTCAGCCTGCCTCAGCATCAGCCTGCCTCAGCCTCAGCCTCAGCCTGCCTCAGCCTCAGCCTCAGCCTGCTTCAGCCTCAGCCTCAGTCTGCCTTCAGCCTCGGCCTCATCCTCAGCCTGCCTCAGCCTCAGCCTGCATCAGCCTCAGCCTCAGCCTCAGCCTGCCTCAGCCTCAGCCTGCCTCAGCCTCAGCCTCAGCCTGCCTTCAGCCTCAGCCTCAGCCTCTCAGCCTTCAGCCTCGGCCTCAGCCTCAGCCTGCCTCAGATCAGCCTGCATCAGCCTCAGCCTCAGCCTCAGCCTGCCTCAGCATCAGCCTGCTTCAGCCTCAGCCTCAGCCTACCTCAGCCTCAGCCTCAGTCTGCTTCAGCCTCAGCCTCAGTCTGCCTTCAGCCTCAGGCCTCAGCCTCAGCCTGCCTCAGCCTGCCTGCCTCAGCCTCAGCCTGCTCAGCCTCAGCCCTCAGCCTCAGCCTGCCTCAGCCTCAGCCTGCAGCTTCAGCCCTCAGCTCAGCCAGCCTCAGCCTCAGCCTCAGCCTCAGCCTCAGCCTGCTCAGCCTCAGCTCAGTCTGCCTCAGCCTCGGCCTCAGCCTCAGCCTGCCTCAGCCTCAGCCTGCATCAGCCTCAGCCTCAGCCTCAGCCTGCCTCAGCATCAGCCTGCCTCAGCCTCAGCCTCAGCCTGCCTCAGCCTCAGCCTCAGCTGCTTCAGCCTCAGCCTCAGTCTGCCTTCAGCCTCGGCCTCAGCCTCAGCCTGCCTCAGCCTCAGCCTGCATCAGCCTCAGCCTCAGCCTCAGCCTGCCTCAGCATCAGCCTGCCTCAGCCTCAGCCTCAGCCTGCCTCAGCCTCAGCCTCAGCCTGCTTCAGCCTCAGCCTCAGTCTGCCTTCAGCCTCGGCCTCAGCCTCCGCCTGCCTCAGCCTCAGCCTGCCTCAGCCTCAGCCTCAGCCTCAGCCTGCCTCAGCATCAGCCTGCCTCAGCCTCAGCCTCAGCCTGCCTCAGCATCAGCCTCAGCCTGCTTCAGCCTCAGCATCAGTCTGCCTTCAGCCTCGGCCTCAGCCTCCGCCTGCCTCAGCCTCGGCCTGCATCAGCCTCAGCCTCAGCCTCAGCCTGCCTCAGCCTCAGCCTGCCTCAGCCTCAGCCTCAGCCTGCCTCAGCCTCAGCCTGCCTCAGCCTCAGCCTCAGCCTGCTTCACCTCAGCCTCAGTCTGCCTTCAGCCTCGGCGTCAGCCTCAGGCTGCCTCAGCCTCAGCCTGCATCAGCCCTCACCTCAGCTGCCTCAGCATCAGCCTGCCTCACCTAAGCCGTCAAGCCCTGCCTCAGCCTCAGCCTAGCTTCAGTCCTGCCTTCCCAGCCTCACCCAGCCTGCAATCACCCCTCAGCCTCAGCCTCAGCCTTGCCTCAGCCTTTGAGCCGGGTCCTCAGCCCTCAGCCTCAGCCTCAGCCTGCCTCAGCCTCAGCCTGCCTCAGCCTCAGCCTCAGCCTGCTTCAGCCTCAGCCTCAGTCTGCCTTCAGCCTCGGCCTAGCCTCAGCCTGCCTCAGCCTCAGCCTGCATCAGCCTCAGCCTCAGCCTCAGCCTGCCTCAGCATCAGCCTGCCTCAGCCTCAGCCTCAGCCTGCCTCAGCCTCGGCCTCAGCCTCAACCTGCTTCAGCCTCAGCCTCAGTCTGCCTTCAGCCTCGGCCTCAGCCTCAGCCTGCCTCAGCCTCAGCCTGCATCAGCCTCAGCCTCAGCCTTAGCCTGCCTCAGCATCAGCCTGCTTCAGCCTCAGCCTCAGCCTGCCTCAGCCTCAGCCTCAGTCTGCTTCAGCCTCAGCCTCAGTCTGCCTTCAGCATCGGCCTCAGCCTCAGCCTGCCTCAGCCTCAGCCTGCATCAGCCTCAGCCTCAGCCTCAGCCTGCCTCAGCATCAGCCTGCTTCAGCCTCAGCCTCAGCCTGCCTCAGCCTCAGCCTCAGTCTGCTTCAGCCTCAGCCTCAGTCTGCCTTCATCCTCGGCCTCAGCCTCAGCCTGCCTCAGCCTCAGCCTGCATCAGCCTCAGCCTCAGCCTCAGCCTCAGCCTGCCTCAGCATCAGCCTGCCTCAGCCTCAGCCTCAGCCTGCCTCAGCCTCAGCCTCAGCCTGCTTCAGCCTCAGCCTCAGTCTGCCTTCAGCCTCGGCCTCAGCCTCAGCCTGCCTCAGCCTCAGCCTTCATCAGCCTCAGCCTCAGCCTCAGCCTGCCTCAGCATCAGCCTGCCTCAGCCTCAGCCTCAGCCTGCCTCAGCCTCGGCCTCAGCCTGCTTCAGCCTCAGCCTCAGTCTGCCTTCCGCCTTCAGCTGGCATCAGCCTAAGCCTCTGCCTTCAGCCTGCCTCACAATCAGCCCTGCCCTCAGCCTACAGCCTCACCTGCCTCAGCCTCAGCCTCACCTCAGCCTGCTCAGCCTCAGCCCTCATCTGCCTTCAGCCTCGGCCTCAGCCTCAGCCTGCCTCAGCCTCAGCCTGCCTCAGCCTCAGCATCAGCCTGCCTCAGCATTCAAAATGTGGCCCGGGAATCATCGAGTTTTGGGAACTCGAAGAACACGAAGTGGCCTACAGTTGGCTCTGGGCATTCAAAATCATGCCCAGGACTGGAGTTCTGGGAACTCGAAGGCCACGAAATGGCTTACAGTTGGCTCCGGGCATTCAAAATCATGCCCAGGATTGGAGTCCTGGGAACTCGAAGACCACGAAGTGGCCTGATGTTGGCTCCGGGCATTCATAATCATGCCCAAGACTAGAGTTCTGGGAACTCGAAGACCACGAAATGGCCTACAGTTGGCTCCGGGCATTCAGAATGTGGCCCGGGAATGGAGTTCTGGGACCTCGAAGACCACGAAGTGTATAACTGTTTGCTTCAAGCAACTTCCGCGGATCCCTGTCCGGATGCCGCCAAGACCCCCCTGGGGAGTCATGATGCTTTCTTTTGACCCCATTAGAAACCTATCAATCTTCCCTGTTAGGTAAAAAACATACTACAGTTGGCTCCGGGCATTCAAAATGTAGCCCGGGAATGGAGTTCTGGGAAGTCGAAGAGCACGAAGTGGCCTACAGTTGGCTCCGAGCATCACAAATGTGGCCCGGGAATGGAGTTCTGGGAAGTCGAAGAGCACGAAGTGGCCTACAGTTGGCTCCGGGCATCCAAAATGTCGCCCGGGAATGGAGATCTGGGAAGTCGAAGAGCACGAAGTGGCCTACATTTGGCTCCGAGCATCCAAAATGTGGCCCGGGAATGGAATTCTGGAAAGTCGAAGAGCACGAAGTGGTCTACAGTTGGCTCCGAGCATCCAAAATGTGGCCCGGGAATGGAGTTTGGGAGGTCGAAGAGCACGAAGTGTGTGACTGTTTGCTTAAAACGAGCCCGGCCCTGAGCCCGGCCCTCGCTGTCCGGATGCCGCCCAGACCTCCCTTCTGAGTCATCAGATGCTTTCTTTTGACACCACTAGAAACCTATCAGTCTTCGCTGTTAGGTAAAACAAATTATCCCGGCAAAGCAACCTAACAGCGATGTGTAGGAGCATATCTGGAAGCATTCCCCTTAAGATTCAGATGAGAATCCAGTTGTAGAATTCTGCTGTTCTCGCAGTCGTAGTCGCATTCGCGATGACAGTCGCAGTGGCAACGGCAGTTTAGAGGCTCACCACCGAAAAACTCACCCCAAGACGGGAGCAGCGGAAAGGCGCCAGCCAATAGAAATCAGGACCACGAGGCAACAGCAATGGACCGACGATTTTCGGTCCTGACAGATGATCCGGGTGCCGCCGAGAGCGGCGGCTTCCTTTGCTGAAGTCCAGAGGCGGGCTGGCTGGGCGACGGGCACAGCGGTTGGCCCCGCTCTGAACTCACAATCCCCAACACCGGGAAAAGGAGGCAGAAAAGTACGAAGACGAAAAAAGGGAGGGAGGGAACAGGGAGAACTTGAGACGGAGAACACATGCATAACTCGTTATACAGACGGCGCATCTGCTGCTCCCCGCCCCCCCCCCGATGTCCAAGGTAAAGGTCGGGGGGGGGGAAGGGGTGAGAGGTGGAGGCCCGAAAAATTCATTGTATCTTATACAACACACATTTAGAGGCTCACCACCGAAAAACTCACCCCAAGACGGGAGCAGCGGAAAGGCGCCAGCCAATAGAAATCAGGACCACGAGGCAACAGCGATGGACCGACGATTTTCGGTCCTGACAGATGATCCGGGTGCCGCCGAGAGCGGCGGCTTCCTTTGCTGAAGTCCAGAGGCGGGCTGGCTGGGCGACGGGCACAGCGGTTGGCCCCGCTCTGAACTCACAATCCCCAACCCACCGCTGATACGCACAGCGCCTGGCTGATGTGGCCCAGGGCTCTGGGTGGGCGGGGTTGCCACGTCAGCCGAAATCATTCTGCCTCCGACAAACCAAAAAATCGATTGAATCAAAGCATTCACTCTCGCGCCATCTTTGGGCGCGGCGGCTGCCTGGCCAGGAGCTCACGGCCACGCGCCATCACGGCGGCGGGCACGGCCGCTCTCGCGGCCACCAGGGCGCGCGTCTTCATGTAGCGCAGCACCGACTTCTCAGAAGCCCAGCGGCCGCGCCGCTGGATGGCCCACACCGTCCGATAGCCCTCCGCCGCGTCGCGGCTGGGGCCCGAGTGCCTCGCTGAGTGGGCTGGGAAGGCGGTGATGCCGATGTCGTCGCTGGCCTTCCGTAGGGCACGACGGTAGGCCTCCACCGAGCAGCCGAAGACCAGCTCGCCCGGCTTCTTGGCCGCCTTGCGCGCCCGCAGCATGTCGGCGATGTGCGGGCGGTCGATCAGCACGCCCTGCCTCACTCCCGTCTTGGTGCGCTCGTTCCGCTCCTGCACGCCCAGCTTGATGGCCACCACGTCATCGTCGGCGTCGATGATGTCCTCGACTCGCAGCGCGAAGACCTCCGCCGAGCGGAGGTAGGCGTCGACCGCCAGCGCTGCTGCATCTGCTGCCTCCACGGACCCGGCCAGCCTCATGGCCTCGTCCAGGGCAGCCCACACCTCGAGTGGCTGAGGCCCACCCTCGCCGGCCACGTGCATCTTGTGCCACGCCCGCAGGGCCCGATTGGCTCGCGGGAGGCCCGTAGACAGCTCAGGCCAAACGAACGCCATGCCGTGCACCACGTAGTCGCCCCTGTGCGGTCCCACCTCCTCGTCCTCGACCAGGTAGTCTAGGTAGACCAGGATGGAATTGTCGATCTCCTCCCTGCTCATCATGGGCAGGTCGAGGTCCAGCGCGAACTCCAGGAAGCGCCGCACGTTGGGCACGTAGCAGTTGAGGGCCGTCTTCTTGCCCACCGAGTAGGGCAGAAGCGAGAGCCCAGCCTCCGAGGTCTGCATGGGGCCTGATGATCCAGCTCTCTGACTCTCATTTCGTCGATTGGTAGCGTGCATCCGCCGATCCTGGGAATGGTGACGCAGACGACCGTCGGCGAGCGGCATCCCATGGCAAGCCCGAGGGAAGAAGCAGCAGGCCATGACGCCGAGGCCGGTCCTGGAGATGGTCACCCTGAGGCCTCCAGGAAAGAGGCAGGCAGCACGTCGATGTCCCGTATGTTGCGCCGCCTCCGCTCGAGCGTCTCCTTGATCAGCAGCTCCACGGCCCTCTCGGTGAACTCCGCCTCGCGCCGCTCGCGCCCGTCCAGCATCGCGTCCAGGTGGCACTCGGCCAGCACGCGGCAGAGGTCGGACGAGTAAGCCTGAGCTACCCGCGTTCTGAAACGCCCCGTCTCGTCCTTCCCGCACAGGCTCGCCGTGTGGTTCTTGTGAATACATGGGCGAATGAGCCGCTGCAGGTCCTTGGCTGTCCCCGAGATAGTGGTCAACTTGAGTGCGGGGCAGCCCCACATGCACTGAGGAAAGGTCACCCTGTAGGCACCGAGAACCTCCTCCCACTCCAGCACCTCGGGCGTTGCAAAGATCGAGGGGAACGGAGGCTTCCCCGGGTCGGCAGGATGCTCCAGCGAGACTGAGCCACCTCGTAGAGCGATCGCCTTGAGCACGCGCAGGCTGCTCAACAGCTGCGCCGAGCCCATCTCCACCTTCCTCAGGTCGGCGCCATGAAGACCGGGGCGGCCCCACGGGTGTGAGCGGAGGCGCACAGGAGGGGGTCCTCCTGGCTGGAAGCGCACCCTCGACCACGTAGCGCACGAGGGTCCAGCATGGCCTCCATCCACCTCCAGCTCGGCGAGCAGCTCCAGCCTCCGCACGTTCACCTCCTCGGACAGGTCGAACTCTGGCCCGAACCCGATGTCCACGTTCGTGCACTGCACCACGTACCCCCGACTGGCCGCGAGACGAGCGAGCCAGAACTCCAAGTCGCCCGACCGCGTGTGGCCGCTGCAGAGGTGAAAGAAGCGCAGCACCTTCGCCCTCACGGTCCGACCCAGCCGTAGCGGCGCGAAGGGATCCTCCTCCGCGATGTCCGCCAACTCCTCGATCACCTGACCCGTGTCGGCGGGCAGCACGGTCTCGCCCTGCAGTCGCTCCTTCGGCGCCTGCCCGATCGGGAAGCCTCGGCTGGGGCCGTCGCTGTGGTTGCGGTCGGACGGCACCCAACGCCAGTACTCCCTCATGCCGCAACCCAAGTCGATCGCGGCCATCCGGCGGCACAAGATGAGGATCGGCTTGCTGGCCGACCTGCCCTTGCTGAAACCGCCCAGGCACACCATGGAGTCGGTGATGCGAAGATGGCGGCGGCCCCAGCTCGCACGCGACCGAGCGGAGTGCCTCACCGCAGCCAGGCCCGTCCTCATCTCCAGCAGGTTGATGTGCTCCTTCTCGTCCCAGCGCCAGCGGACCACCTCCTTCCACCTCGACATGTCGTCCCAGCAAGCGTGCACCGGTGGTACCCTCACGCGCATCCCGAGCTCGACTCCCTCGGCGATTCGCCGATACGCCTCGCCTTCTGCCCAAGAGTCCGCCGCCCAGGAAGACGAGATGCCAGTCCAGACGGTCCACCCTCCTCTGACAGCAAAGCGGGCCTCTCGACGCATCTCCTGGATGTCGGCCTGGGCCGAGATGATGGCCCCGCCGTAGAGGCTCGCGTCGAACATCGTCACCGTGGGGTCCCAGGGCATGGCCAGGTCGACAGACACCAGCGGCACCACAGCCGCTGCCACAGCCAGCTCGCGGAGGACCTCGTCGGGCAGCCGACGGCGGGGGCCCCCTCGGAACTCCATGCACCAGTGATAGACCTCCGAGAAGACGCTCAGGGCCCCTCGAGTGATCAAGAAGCCCCAGGACAGGATACCCACGATCTTGGCCACAGCGTCCGGGAACTCCGACCTCTGCTTGAGGATCTCGCTCACCCCGGCCACGGCCAGCCACATCTTGTCCTGGTTCGGGGCTAGGCGTGTGCCCACGAAGTCTCCACCGATCATCCGGGCCTGTCCCGAGCAGTCGTCCTTGTGCACATTGAAACCCGCGGCGTTCACCAAGTACTTGGCTCCCAACCAGATGTCCCTGACCTGCGTGGGCGGCTCGGCGTCGGCAATGGGAGGGTAGTCCACCCCGATGATGCCGAAGTCGTCGATGTACTCGTAGTGCGCCGCAGGCACCTCCCGACTGATCAGGGGCAGCGGGCCCCCTTCTGCCAGACGCTGCTCCTCGGCAAGGGCGGGCATCCCCATGGAGGGACCAGAGTTGAACAGGTCCTCCATAGTCGTCTGGGCCATCCAGCAGGCCCAAGAGAAACCCATCAGCGCCACACGTACACCAACGTGCTCGCCTGACCCGCTCAGGCGGGCGTCCGAGGGGAGAACGTCGAGAAGCTCCGAAGATCGGACTCCAGGCAGCACAAAGTAGGGCGCGATCGCCTCGCCCAAATCCAGCGTGTAGTAGAAGTCGGGGAGGTCGCCAGTACCAAAAACCATTCGAGCGCCCTCCTCCGTCATCTCCTCGGACACGTCCAAAAACGACATGGCACTGACCCCGCCCATGGCACACCACGGCGGCGCCCGCCAGCGTAGGTTGGACCGCCGCTGGTCGAAAACCAAACGCAACGACACCAAGGGCTCGCCGTCCACGACCTCGGCCTTCTTCACCACACAGAAGAGCCCGACCTCGTCCACCTTCGATTCGCAGCGGCACAGCATCCCAGCCAGCGCCATGCGCTTGGCCAGCATCAGCATGTCCTTCTTGCGGCGGAAGTGCGGGTCCACGTAATTCTTCACCTCCGCGGCCCTGACGCACTCCTCGCCGTCCTCCTTCAGCATCTCCCTCCGAAAATCGTCTAGCATCTGAGCCACTCTCGGCGACACAGACCTCGCACTCACCGGCATTGAGCCTGGAGGGGGAAGAGCGACCCGCTCCCAATGGGCGGGAAACGTCTCGCCCCGGTCTGGCAGTCGTACCTGTCCACCAGCACACCTCCTCCGCAGCTCGGCCAACCGTTGGGCATAGGTCGACCGGGATTGGTTCTCCGCCGCCGTAGCGGCGGGGCGCAGCCGCAGGATCGCGGCTCCTTGCTCGGGCGTCGAGGGAGGCGGTGGTAGGCGACGTACCTCCTCCAGCACACGCCTCGAGAGGTCCCCGTCCATGGTGCTGGGCAGTGGCCCCTGACCCCAGATCTCCCCAGGATGCAGGAGCTCGTCGCCCAACGTCCCACGATAGAGCTGGCGGAGTCCCAGCAAGCACCGATTGGCCCGCTGCGCGACGTCCAGCTCCTCCCGCCAGCGCGAGAGCACCCGCCGTGAGCTCGACGTCGGCCTCTCCGGTCGTGGGATGAGCACCACCTCCGACAGGACGTCCCGCCTCCTCGACATGAATAGCCCAATTCGTCGTGCAGTAGATCACCTGCTGGAACCCGACGCTCTTGCCGAAGTCCCACAGACTCGAAACCCAGAGGTAGACGAGAAAACTTGACCAGCCACGGTGACGAGGCCGATCGCGTGCAGGGGCCCCTGGCGGACCTTCGCCAGTCAGCCCCGTGGAACGTTCTCTGGGGCTCACGGCGGGCTCGCACCCCCGCCGCCCAGGTCCGTGCGCGCCTTGATCAGCTGCGCATCTCGACCCATTGCCTTCTTCACCTCCTCCTCTGCACTCATGACCCTGATCGTGCTCTCGTCGGCCAGCTGCGGATCCAAGCGCCGCGCCGCCTCCCAGTCGACCTTGGACTTCCAGCTCTTGGCGTCCTTGGGCCTGCTCCAGTCGTCGCGGCAG